CCTCCTCGCCCCCATCCTGACCTCCTTCCGAACACCCTGGAACCAGGGAGCCCTGCTAAAACCAGGAGACCAGATTTCTCACTGCTTGGAAGTGCCCCAGGCCCTTTTCCGTCCCTCTGATTTCACAGAGCGCTAAAAATGCCCCTACTTCTGGTTCTGCTTATCCAAGGCTTACCTTTTCTTCAAAGTCAAATCAAGTCCAACTTCTTCCAAGGAGGTTTCCCAGACTGCCCGAGGTTTTATTTTGTTCTCTCAATTGCTACATGAGTCAGCATCCCCACGCAATTTAGGACTTAATTTTTGTATCCTCTCCCCCCCACCCCCAATATACTCACTCATTCAACAAAATGTTTATTTCCGAGGGTCAAAAAATTCCTTTGAAAATGTGGATGCTGGTCTAGAGGCTGAGGGTACGGCTGTGAACACGAGGCATGAGGCCCTCAGAAGGCCTACATTTGGCGGAGGGGAGCGAGAGAGACAATAAATCTCAGCTCTCCAGTACAGCCTTTCAGAGAGGAAACGAGAGTTCAGCAGGTTTACAGACAAGAAAGGAAGACGGTGGGGCTGGGGCCTAAGTGAGCTGAGCAGCACAAGATAGCAGGACTTCTTGATGATATCAACAAAAACATATAGTATTTCCAGCACTCTTCGCCTGGGCTGATGCTAACCAAGCACAGTTGGCAGCATTTCGGCCCTAGATGTAAATTAAGGCTGGACCATACAGCTACACCACAAGAAAATGCAATTAGCTATCTAATTAGGGGTGAGGATAACTAATCTAAATCACTGGACCCAAGAGAATGATAGTAACTCCCTGGGTACAATGATAAAATGGAATAAATAAGTATTAAATGCCTCCTCCTCAGACCATTGTTAGAACCATGATAGAAACATTCTGGTAGTAAACTGCCCACAAAGTTATGGTTACATAGTTACCAGTTACATCCTTCTGGTAGAAAAATGACAGCTAATCGATTCAATCAACTATCATGAGCAGAAAACTTCTGAATTAAGTGCTGCTGCAAATAATTTCTACAGCCTTCGCCTGCACTGAAATAGGCTACTGCAGATACCTGGAACCATCCAAGCTTATAAGGGGCTTTCTGGTTTACATTACAGACTCACTTAACAATCTATATGTATAATTGTATAAGAGGGAAGGACTGACCTTATAAATCATTAGCTCAAATGCAGGCTTGCTCATTTCTCTGCCTGGTTAGGGACCATATTGAAAGGAAAACAAAGGGATAGAGAATCTGATGGCTGAGACAGAGAGGTGGGGCTGGGAGACAGAGAAACAGAGCAGAAGCTACCTGCCTTATAGTAAAGGCAACCCCTCAGAAATGGACTATTTAATCCAAACACCAGCTCAAAAAAGGTGTCTCTCTCTACTTTAGGGTCTAGACTCTAGACCAGGGGTGGGGAACACCTGGCCTGCCGGTTGTATAAGGCCTGCAAAATCAATACCAGTTAACATCACAGGCCTCACCAAAGTACCCTGACCAAATAAGGCAGGCTAATTGTTAAGCTGATAATTTTGTCTGGCCCTCGAATGGTGTTTTCTGGCCCTTGGTAGAAAAAGGTTCCCCACCCCTGCTCTGGACGATGCGGGAAAATGTCCTGAATCCTCACTGACTGGAAAATACAAGAAGTCTTCCCACTATAGCTCTTGGTAGGGAAAAATCAAAGTTCTCCATTGAGAGAATGATCTTACTAAATAATTAAAATGGAGAGAACTCTTGTGTAATCAAAATGGCTCTCATGATCCCATCTAGACTGACAGCTGAACCCCTCCCAGAAGCCTTCTCTGATGGAACTATATTATTCAACATCTCCTGGCCACATGGATGTCCAACGTGTATTCTATTTGCTTTACAAGTGGTCTCTAATGGTTAATCTTCCTACCTGGACTATTAATTTCTCAAGAGCAAGAATTGATTTCATTCTACAACCATCATTGCCCTGACCCTCGCCCTAAATTCCTAGTAGAGTACAGTGCTCTGCACATAGAGGGTGGGTTTAGGTTTAGGGTTAGAAATCTCCTGTAAAGAACATCTAACCTGGATGGTCTAGAGCCTGCCTGATCTAGGGGCTGATTTCTTCTGGCCATTGACCCTTTTACTGCATATCCATTTCTCCACAGTGGACATACAGAATCAAATTTACTCAAGTACACTACTAAATACCGATGTGTCATATTAACCAATTCCACCAGATAAAAGCCAAGAAAGGAAGTTGTCCAGATAGCTCAGGGAAAGGAGAAACAATGACCTGGTTTTCCCTGAATTACTTACGGAGTAAAATAGGGCTTATAATGGAGATTTCAGGTTCGGGAGCATTATTATAATGTGCTAATGCTTCCTTTGAAAGTAGATTTCCCATGTTCTGACAGAAAAATTTCAGGGAAAGCCATTTCACCTTCAATGGGGTACTTACTATTCCACTGCTCTATAATAATTACAGGACAGAGTGCTTTCAATCTGGAGCTCAAAAAAGGTGAAATGAAATGGCCATAGTAACACAACCAGCACAGTGACAAAGTCAAGCTTAACCCTCACTCTCCAGGCTCAAGTTCAGCATCCTTTCCACCATCTCTCTATACTTTTTTTTTTTTTTTTTGGCTGAAAAACTGAAGTGTGGCTATTGAATTGCACGATCCTGGGACATTTCAGAAGTTGTACATTGTAAGGACCACATCTATTTAATGCATTTCATTGTGCATGGGTTCAGTGCTACAAGTCTGCAGCTAGGTCAACAGCATATTTGATAATGATGTCGAAATTCACAACTGAAGGAAATGTAAATACCTTTGCACTCTGGTCTATTTTTTTTTAACCTGACATCTCTCACTCTGATGCATTTCCTTTCTGAAACTCGAGTCTTACCACCAGCTAACAGAAATATTTAAAATAACAATGAGCAAATCCCCAAGCAAGCCAGCTGGATTCACCAGCGGGGAACTGTTTGGGGAATGACTTCTCAAAGACAAGGGCAGATCCCTCGAAGAGGTGATGCAATAACTCCCTTTCACGATGTTTTCTTCTCCTTCATGTTTCACAGTCTGCACTCATTATCTTGCCTTCTCTGAACATAGAGTAATTTTTAGCAAAGACCAAGCTAGAGGAGAGAATAACATGCTCTTGCATGAGCTGTCCATCATAAACAAAAGTAAAGCTACTCATCAAGAAGACATGAGTTTTTCCAACATAACTAGATGACACTTTATATAATAAGGAACGTACTCCTAGTGGGGGAAAATTTCAACCAGATATGTATAAGGAGGGTCATATTTTCCCATATTCTTACATTATTATTGCAAAGCTACCTTATCATTATTCTGTCTTAGCCATGGAACTCCTGCCTCTATCCTCACACCTGATAAGCAGTTTAGTAATAAAAATGTAAATGAACTAAGCTGGCTCCACTTTAAAGGAAATCTGTTACAAATCCTTCTGCGATGTTTTTTTTTTTTTAATGTGGCTAAAACTACGGTGGGTGCACATGCAGTGGATAGCATTGGGCCACAGGGCATGCTGGACTGAGAGACGGTGAGGGATGAGGCCCTGACACTGTTCCAGGTCTCCATGCAGAGTTCTCTGGCCACTCTCAGGTCAGAATCCTGTTCTTGCGTCCTTAGCACAAGGCGCTAACCTATGCCACTGACACATGAATCAAAAATGTGTTCCCTGATGGCTCGCTCTGCATGTCACAAGGATAGCAACTTAATTCAAGATAATAAAGGTTACCTGTAACAGAGAAACTTTTCAGTAAATCATTACCTGGGTTCATTCACAGCTCCAGGACTAGAATTCCACGTTTTAGCAACTTCTCTTAAAATATTCCACATGTGTGGTCACAGACAACAAACAGGAAAAACTAAGGGGCCAATTAACTGAGCAGACTTCCATATCGATCCCAGTACATAAGCCTCAAAATAAACTTTAAAATAAATAAACAAATAAGGCTTGGATTTTAAACTGCATCTTCCACCAAGTTCTGAGTTAAGGGAAGTGACAGACCCAAGGTCACAAAGTCATTGACAGGACATCCACATAGGCGCACACACCCGAGGAAATACTGCAGCATCAGACCGCTGTTTACATTTGCTGGTTGGGAGAGGATGTGGCATCTGATTGATCTCAGTTGGAGGAGATACAAGTTCTTTATCCTAACGGACACTAAAATAAGTCAGTAATTATTACTCAAAACAGATCCAGACTCTTAAATCGGGAGGCACTAGCTGGATTAAAGGGAAGAGCTGAATTAACAGAACCTGGTGATTGGGGGAATCTAGGAGACCTCGCATGCCAATCAACAAAACGAAGTGTGTAAAAAGAAGTTTCAGGATGTTTTTACTTTTTAATGAAAAACACAGGAACAGATCACTGCTAATATTAAAACTGTCACGTATCTAAAGCTTCCTTTGTACTGCAGTCTCTCAGAGAAATCTTACAAAGAGTAGGTCTTCAGCATCAAGACCGACTCGGGTGAATTTTTGAGACCTGCTTGCAGTTCTCAAACCCACTCGCATCCCCCCAGCACCACCACCAGGAAAGTCCTGAATTGGTCCGCACACTTTTCCAGGTGCAGCTTCTGGGTTCCGAGGGCCAGGGGCGAGGCCTGGGAGGCCGATTGCTGGAGCGCAGGGCAAGGTCACAGACCACCACTAGGATCCGTGCCCCCGGAGAACGCCCAGCCCACCCACCGCGGGGAGCCCCGCCGCCGGTCCTCCCGCGCGCCCTCCGCAGGATCCCCTGCAGGCTCTCCTCGTCCAGGCGTGACCGCCCCCGCGCGGGGGAAATGCTCTGCTTTCAGCGGTTCCGAAAGCGGGCGGTCTGCTCCTGTCCGGAAAATGGGGACGGGCACCGGGGGCTGCACGACCTCCCTCCCCGGCTCCCTGCACCCTCCCTCCCCGCTGCCTTTCTCCCGGCCAGAGGCCGAGGTGGCCCCCTGCCCGCAGTGTCGCGGTCCCCACGCCCTCGGCCGCCCGCTGCGCTCACCTCGGCCCGCGCCCGCGCTGGTGGCGGTGGAGTTCCCGCAGCCCATCGCGCCGCCGGCCGGAGAAGCGGCGCGCTCAGCGGTCGGCCGCAGGTCCTGGGGGCGGAGACGGAGGCGGAGGGCGGCGCGTCCCGAGCGAGAGGACGGCGGGGGGCGCGCGGGGCCGGGGGGCGCGCGGGGGCCGCTCCCTCCCGCCGCCGGACGCGAGCCAGGGCGCGGCGGAAACCGCGGGGCAACCTGCCCCAGCCCGGCTCGGGGACCCCGCCGAGCCCACCCCTCACCTCGGCAACCGCGGCGCCGGCCAATCCACAGCCTCCGGCAGGCTCCCCGGCCGGGCACTGGTCGTCAGTAAGAGGGGGCGGGAGTTTAAAGTGGGTTTGGGGGCGAGGGCGAGGCTGAGGGGCGTGGCCGCCGCGGGCTCCGGCTGTGGGGAAGGAGCCAGGGATGCTCACCTGCCCACCTTGCACAACCTCTTTACCTTCTCTTTTCCTCCCCCATTTCCCCTCCCTCCTCCGGGCTGTGGGGAGCAGAGGAAGTGGCAGGGAACACCTGTTTTGCTCACAGTGGGAGCCCAATAAAATGTTATTGACTGAATGATGCTCAGATCTGAAGCCAAACCGAAATTCATTTCTGCTTTAACAGAAAGCTAATGCATTTCTGTTCCCCCCATCCACACTGGCTAATAAAGAACATAAATATTTCCCAAGTTGGTCATACTAATTTATTTCACTTTAAAATAAAGGCCATGATTTCGATAACCTGGATACAGGGCCTCCACTCTGAGTAAAAGACAGAACTGTGGATTTATGTGGCACATTTCAACCTAACAGTTGAGCAAGTGTTGCTGGAGTTGGGTTGTCTGAGCTAAACCGCCCCCCCCCCCCCTTCACTTCAGCAAAGTTACTTAACTCATTAGTGTATTGTTGTTGTACCTGTAAAATTGCAATAATAACTCATGTACACTTGTAAAGCACCTAACACAGTGCCTGATCCTAAAAATAAAAGAGGTTTTAACTCCAGCTGGTCTTCTTTTCCTTAAATCTCTTAGAAGTGAATACTAATTCTCTGAAGGTAAGGACTGGCTGATTTATCATAATGTCCTGGCTCATAGTACAGACTCGGTAAATGTTTTGTGAGATGAATTCAAGCCAGGAATTAAATCTCCATTTTAAACCCATTTAATATTTATAGAGAGCCTCGCCTGTGCCAAGTCTTTCGCTAAAATTAAGGATACAAACATGTGGGAGCCAGTCTAACCAGGCAGACTGATTATAAACAAATTAATTGCAATATAGCAGGGATGCTACCAGAGGAATACGGAGTGCTAAGGGAGCCCAGAAGGGATACTGGTTAAAAGACTTTCCTAAAACCATCTAGTTGTGTTTAGAGAAAACCTTGAAGCAGAACCGAGACCCTAGTGGATCGTTCAACATGGCCTTCAAGGCAATGGTGAGGACTGGGTAATCCTATCACTCGGGACACAAAAGAACACCATCCACCATTTGAAAATTAGATATACTTGGGCATGTGCTAAGATGGTAATTAATTCTTGGACAAATAAGGGTGTTTTGAGTTGTTTGATTTCTAGAAGCAGTTTCTCTACCTTGGCCTCCACTATATTGGTTCAGTGGGTACCCCCATGCAAAACCAGAATTAGCAGGGAGGAAGGAGGGGACTATCAAATGGCCAAAATAGATACTTTTGCTTATTTCTGGACTGTTCGACACTGGACTGCAGCCCTAGGACACATAAGAAAGAGGAAAACAGACTCTGACATCCAGAAACTGGCCTCATACAACTAGGTCTTCCTGCTCTCCCGCTAAACACAGTTGCACAGATACCAATATCAGACAAAGCCCCTCTATAATCGGGCTGAAGTGAGTTCAAAAATAAAATGACTCGGTAATCTTGTCTAAGTATGACAAAAACAAGGTCACTGGTAAACCGCAAAAAACACCAAACATCCAAACTTCATCCAATCCTGGCTAATATGAGTGACGGCTACTTGCTTACCAGCTACACTTTTAGGCCCATTCCAGTCTTCCTACCATAGAGATAAGATTTATTAAGAATACTCCATCACAGAATTGCCCCTGCTTCCAAAAAAACAAGACCTGCTTTCTTAAACCCCAACCAAAATCACCACACTCGAACCCCAAACTAAAAGTTCCTTTCTAACACCCTGTAACTGAAATACCTCATGGTCCCCCATGGTGTGCCTTCTCTTTTACTGCAATGAGGAATACACCCGACTTGTTCAACTACTAATATGTTCTTAGTGGGCCCAGCTAGTGTGGCTCAGTGGCTGAGCATTGACCCATGCACCAAGAGGTCACCGATCTCCAGTGGTGGGGCATGCAGGAGGTGGCCAATGGATGTTCTCTCGCATCGATGTTTCTGTCTCTCTCTCTCCCTCTCCCTTTCTCTTGCTCTAAAAATCAATAAAGGAAAAATAAATTTTTTTAATGATAATAATATGTTCTTGGTGGTCTTTGCCTGGAGGACGTTGACCCTTGTAAATAAGGTTACAGTGTTATCTCTCCATTCTTCCAACACTGTTGATCACCTCCTTTGTGCCAGCCACTTGTCCAAATGTTTGCAATATTGCAGTGAACAAGCCACAGGGGGGAAGTCAAGTGGGAGCAGACAGATCAAAATCAAACAGAAGATAATTTCAGACACTATAAGCTCAATGGGAAGAAGAAGAAAAAAAAACTAAGGTAGGGCACTACAATAGGTGACTGGGGTAGAGGGAGAGATGCTATTTTAGGCAAGATGGTCAAGGAAGGCTTCTCAGAGGAAGGGGCATCTTAGCTGAGATCGGATTGATGAGAACAAATCAGACACGTGAAAACCAAGGAAAGAGCATTTCAAGCAGAGGTAATGGCAAGTGCAAGAGCCCCGAGGCAGGAACGTTCCGGGTATGTTTCCTAAACAGGAAAAGGTCAGGATGGCTAGGCTAACGCAGAGATGGAGAGGGGTAGTTAGAGAGGCAGGCCTGATCACACTGCATATGATGGACTTTGTAAGAAGTTAAATTTTCATTCAAAAGACATTGCAAAGTCATTTGATGAGACACTATATAATAAGTTTCAAATAAAGTCAGGCATAGAGTAAGTGCCCCATAAATGTCAGTCCTCTCCCCCATGGGGAGTGAAAGCATAGTCCAGTGTTTCCTTTTTCCTTTTTAGGAATTTGTTTTATTTTATAGACAACAGTTAATTGCATTTGGATGTTTTCAAAACCAGTGATGTAAAAGAAAATTATTAATGCGTGCCTCATTTCCTGACTGGTCAATTTTAGTTCCTTTCTCTGTGCCAGTTGAATCATACTGTTCAGCTATTGTTTTCATTCTTCAAACGAAAGCCGACGTGGTGTGAAGGAGAGAGAAGAGGTGTGTGGCTGAACCGGGTCTGATAAGAAAAAGAACGCAAGAGGCAGGAGAACAAGGGGCTGAATAAATCTCCATTTTCATGGTGTTTCTTTCCATGAAAGGCTCCCCACAAAAGTTTGCCAGCCTGAGTTTTATTTTTCTTTTACTCTTTTTCCCTGTTGACAGACAGAGTTGATTGCCTCAGCTCTGAGTAACATATCCACACTTAACAATCTCAGGGACAAAAGCCCCCCCCCCCACACACACACACACACACATCCTGTTCCTTTTTAAAGCCAGGACACTTCTTCTTTCATTTCATTGGCCAGAATTGGGTCACACCCCCCATCCTGATCCAACCACTGAGCAGGTAAATAGGATGGTTGTAATTGGCTGTGGTAGCTACAATTTACCCCAAGTCATGAGAGGGAGTGCAGGATAGACTCCTGAACAAAACTGGGGCTTTGCTCAAAAAGAGAGAAGACAAGAAGGAGGGGGAGGAAGAGGAATTAATATCTGTTTAATCAGTAGTTTAATAGATATACAAATGTATTGCAATATCTAGTTGTGTTCTGGATTAGGCTTTCTAACCCCTTGAAGATAGGCATGGACATTCGTATGACTTGCTTTGGCCAATGAAATGTGAGTAAAAGTGAAATATGACAGAGTCTCTGGGAGTCAGGAGTTGGGAATGCAAGGGATTTATTGTGGTGGATGCTTGAAAGATGCAGGGAAAGGGATCAGAAGCAGGCAGGGAAAGCCTTCAGGCTGCATTGCAGGTCTGACACCCTTGGGGCAAATAGGAAGAGAAATACACAAGGAGGACCCGATAGGAAGAAGCCCTGACCAGGGTGCAGCTCTGAGAAAGTCTTGGCCAAGGCCAATGGGAACTTCAAATGCAGATTGCCTGCAAGGGTAAGGGTAGTCCCCGGTTGGGCAGAGGTAGCCAAGCCCTAGGAACCACTCTGGGCTGCTGGCTGCCCAGAGAGATCTTGACCTGGATTAAACACAGCAGCAGATCCTGCAAGTTCCAATAGCTGGGGGCTGCCAGCCAACTCCACTGCTCTCAGCAGGTTCTGTCCTGAAGGGAGATCTGAGCAGCACATCTCCCAGCCAGCTGTGATAACCCTGGAAGCACATGTGCGGAGTTGCGTCCTCCTTCAGCCTGAATTCCGAAATCACTACATCAGGCAGGTCCCCACCCACACCCACACTGGTCCTGCAACATGAGCAAGAAGAAACTTTGGTTGTGGTTAAGCCACTGGATGTTAAGATTGTGTTATCATACCATACCATATCCTGTCGAATCAGAACACAACATGTCATAATGTATCATAACACAGATACGGCATCCACCTGTATCTGCTACAGTCGGTCTTTATGTACAAATGCATGGGTATAAAATCGACCACGGTATTATCTTGTGGCAGTTTTTATCTCTTTAATCTGGGACTGTGCCCCGTCTCGTCTTCCCAGAGTGTTTATCTGCACTTTTTCTTTCTTTATTTCTTGGTTAGTCTTGCTATAGATTTGGCCATTTCATTGGAGTTTTCAGAGTCCAATTTTAATTTTTTTACTATCTTTTTTTGTTTTGATTTCAATTCATGTATTTCCAGGCCTCATCTTCATTTTCTTCTTTCTAATGTCTTTGCGTTTACTCTATTATTTTTATAATTTCTTGAGTTAAAC